GATATGCATAGGGAGTCAGCACTTGTACCTTTTCAGGTGCTATGTGCAAGCCTCCCTTTGCAAGGATGGCTTTCAGGAAAGAGAACGAAGCAAACACTGTACCTGGGGGTCCAGGAGCAGCAACAAGGATGTCATCCATGTAATGATACACCAGAAATTGTGGATAGGCAGAACGATAGGGTAACAGGACCTTATTTACATAGTGCTGACACATGGTGGGGCTGTTGAGCATGCCCTGAGGTAGGACTTTCCATTGAAAGCGAGAGGAGGGAGAGGAGTTATTCAAGCGAGGCAGAGTAAAGGTGAACAAGGCGCGGTCAAGTTCATGCAGTGGGATAGAAAAAAAACAATCCTTTAGGTCAACAACCATGAGATCAAATTTTTCAGGGATGATATTGGGATTTGGCAGACCACATTGTAATGCCCCCATTGGTTTTATAATCATGTTCAAGGCCCTCAAATCCTGTAGGAACCTCCATTTCCCTGATTTTTTCTTTACAACAAAAATGGGGGTGTTGTATGGGCTGACAGATGGTTCAACATGCCCTTTGACAATTTGGTCCTGGACAAGTGATTGCAAGGCTTCTAATTTGTCTATAGTGAGGGGCCACTGATCCACCCAAACAGGCTCTGTGGTTTTTAGTTGCAGCCGCAGTGGGGTTTCAGTGGAGGATGCCATTAGTCTATGATGAGTTTTGCATTAAGTTGAGACATGAGATCACAGCCCCACAGGTTAGTGTGTAGTGGAAGCACCAAGGGTTGGAGGTAGGCAGTGCGAGAGACGTCAGATGAACTCACCGGTAGCCAGTGTTTGCTACGGTGGGCGTGCTGAACTCCTCCCACTCCTCAAACGGCCGGGGCAGTTTCCAGGGGCCAATCGTCCGGCCACTCAGCCGTTCGGATGACACTAACGTCAGCTCCAGTATCTAAGAGACCCGAAAAGACCTTATCATTGATTGTGAATTGTAATACAGGCCTGGCTCGTTCCATAGATTGATGGACCGCGAATGCCCAGGCATCTTCAGTTTTAACAGGTACTGGAACAGCAGTTGCCACTAGTTCTCCCTTGCTAAATTTTGTGGGAGTATTTCCAATTACCGCTATGGCAACTGAGGAAAAGTCATCGGAATCTCTCAGAAATGTAGATGCAATAATTCCTTTTGCCATGAGGTCCCAGATGGGATAAATTATGAGGGGTGTCATGGCAGGAGGTATGGTTTTCAGACACGTGGGGAGAAAGTACACAGTGCCTGGGATGTCAATTTCCATATCTTCAGAAGCAACTAATTGGAAAGATATGGTGTCAGCCTTTGGAGTGGGGCTGGCTGACTGCCCCCCCTCTAGTTTCCCTGCGGTTGGGGGGTGCTGCTGCGACACTGGTTTGCCCAGTGGTACCCTTTTTTGCACCTTGGGCAAATTGTTTTTGGTTTGTTGTTGTTTTGTGGATTGTCCCTAGCCCTACATTGTGCTTTGAAGTGGCCTGGTTTCCCACAATTGAAGCAATTCCCAGCCAGCCTGTTTTGAGAATTTGCTTGCTGCAGGGCCATTGCCAGGTGTCCCATATTGTAGGAAACAGTCCCCACAATTCTGCAAACCTTTAGATAGTCCGAGAGAGAAGCCCCCCCTCGGGCAGCCAGAGGCTGCAGAATCCTTTTGCAATCCTCATTTGCATTCTCAAAGGCTAATTTCAACAGAAGCTCTCTGCGGGCCTCTCCATTTGAAATTTGCCTCTGGACAGCCTTTTGGAGCTCCTCTATGAATTCAGCATAAGGCTGATGTTATCCTTGGGTAATTTTGGAAAAGGAGCCTATGGCCCCAGAGGCAGGATCATCGACCTTATCAAGGGCTTTGATAGCAATGATACTGACAAGGATGAGAACTCGCTGTGGGATCGTTGTCTGGGATGTTAAGTCAGCAAATCGGCCCATGCCAAAAATTTGATCTGCTTTTGAGCCACGATCGTGAGCAACTTTCTCAGCTTCGGCACAAAAGTCTGATTCCCACACAACGTACTGCGGTCCTGTCAGTATCATTCGGAAGAGGTCTTTCCAATCTTGGGGTAGCATAAAAAAGGAGGTGCTGATGGTGTTAATGAGACCTCTGACATACGGTGCCTGAATGCCATACATGACCACAGCTTGTTTTAAATCTCTAATTAATTTCATGGATAAGGGTTCAAGCCTAGGCACCATATTCCCAGCTCCATCCCCCACATATTCTATGGGCCAGAGGGAGAGCTCCTCTAGGGTAAGAGAGCCCTCCTTGCGCCCCTGTGCCATGGCTTGTGCAACTGCTCCCATGGGTGTCTGATCCCCTGCAGGATTTAATTTAGGAGGAACCGAGGGTTCAGGAGCTGTGGGAGAAGAGGCTTCCAGTGGGAGAGCGTCTTTGGTTTTGGTCTCAGCAGCATAGGGAGGGGGACCTCCCGCAGGGAGGGGGGGTGCCAACATTAGTCAGCGCTGAGCTGTGAACTTTTAAACATTCCATAATTATCTGCCAGGTGGTTAAAATCTTTGGCGGAGCCCTGGGAGTATCATGAAAAAAGTCACCCAAACGTTGCCATGTGGAGACTTTTAAGGACCCCTTTTCCAGATAAGCCGGACACTGCGTGTGGATGTACTTTAAAAGGGTTATGAGGTCCTTTTTAGTGGGAGCCGGGAGCGTTTTGCCCTGACTCCTAAGAATCAAAATTGAGCTCTTCGTTAATTCCCTTAATTCTTGCAGATGCACCATCTGCGCTTTAGAGAATTTCCCGCCCATACTCACCTGAAGGGAGGATTTTCGCCTGGGGAGGGATCCGTGACACTAGACGGCGTCCCTGGGTTGCAACTGGCTCGTCTGGCCGGGTGAGATGGGAGGTCGAAGGCGGGCGGGTCTGCTTCTTTTCAGCAGATCACGTCGGGGTCACCAGAGGCAGCTTTGCTCCACATTAGGAGGGCTTCTCATTGAGTCCAATGCATCAAGAAAGAGACCAAGGCGGTTCAGTCTTGGATGAGGAGCCCCGAGCACGCGCTCAGGGAAGCTCTTTTATTGAACACACATTGTTAAACGTCACAAAAGAGAGAGTTCAGTCTACTTTACATGTTAAAAGAGTAGGGGGTCTCAGTGGATACATTGTAGCACCCAATTACAGCCTTGTAGCTTAAGGGATACAAAGTAACCAATCTGCGCCTGCAGTCCAGCCAGTAGCCCAAGGTGGGCAGCATCCTTTTGTTCCTAATACCTGCTTTCAGCCTACGTGAGGTCTTGCAGGTATCGAAACTCCTTTGCCTACGTGAGGCTTTGGCATATGCCCAGGCTCTTAGATGTGGATTCGCTGCTGCAGAGGCCATGGGAGGCTGGGCAGCTGCCGGCTGTTGAGGACAGATGATGAAAGATCAGCTGATGGTTGGTGATGCCAGATCAGGGCAGGGCTCAGAGCCCCAACCCTCCCCCAGCTGCAACAGGCAGACATCCCACAGGCATCTATCCTGGGATGGCCGGGATCCTCCCTGCCCCCTAGCTCCCCCCCCTCACTTTCCCCCTGTCCCACAATTGTGTCTTTGGACACACCCAGTCACACAACATGGGCCCAGATCCATCCCTCTCCTGATCAAAGCAGAACTTCTAGGCTCGTCTCATGTTTCCCCTCCCCCGCAAGATTGTGATTTCCTCTGAGTTCTTCCTGACACCCCTACATAGACACAAACACAGAGCTTCTTCTTCCAACCCCCATCAGCTGCAGAGGCGCTTGGGTTCCGCTTCCCCAGCCTGAAGCTTTGGGCTCCTCCGAAGTGGAACTGAGGAACTGGCCAGGATCCAGCAGGCAACAAGCCTGGATTCCTCACCAGGGCCGCTCAGGGATTGTCCTCCTTCGCCCCATGGCTGAGTTTCCAGGTGGGGCAGCCACAAGATCCTCTGGCCCACCGGAAGTTTCCAGGGACTTTTTCATTCCTCCCCACATGAAAGAGGGAAAAGGGATAAGAAGAATCTCTGGATGTCATTATTTCTAGAAGCCCCTCAGTCGCCTCTTTGATAGCTGCTCCTGGGAAGCAGCCAACCAGCCTTGCTTGATTCTCTAAAAATTCGCTGGTTCAGTTCCCCTGAGCAATGAAGCATCTATCAGCAACAATGCCTTTTCTTTGTTAAGGAAACGTGAATTTTGTTTCTGTCATTGATACATTTAGTGTTGTCCCTTCTTGCAAGGGGAGATTTTTGCCGACAGGAGCCAAATCTTCCCCATCTTTGAGAGACTTTCTTCAACGACACAATGGTTCTTCCTGTGGTGGCCCCAAGACCCCAGATGTGGAACTGGGAGGGGGAAATTCTGCCCTTAGAGATTTAGCTGGAGTCCTGCAGAGCCAGTCAGACCTTTGGAGGGAGGGAGTCTCAATTGGAGGGCTACCTAAGGGCATCTAGAGATGTTGGGGAGAAGGGAGGGGTCTTCCACTCAGGGCTGCCCCATTGAACCCCCTCCCCCTTTCCTGCAGAGCTGGTCTTTCCCTCCATGGCAAATGTCTTCTACACCAGGAAAGGTTTCAGGACGATTTGTTAGAGATCATCTAGTCTAACCCTCTTCTTGGGCCTATACCATTTAGGTCTACTCTATACCATTTGAATCTGAGCCCCAAAGAGGGAGGGAGGGTGGTGTGGGCTGCCAAAATGGGGCAGGATCTTCCTCCAGTTGTGAGGGAGAGGAATGGTTGAAATAGCCGGGTCAATGTAGGGGGGTCTCAGATGCCCCCCAATGGCTCCACACAAATGTTCAGGGAAGACCCTGACTGCTGGCATTGTGCTCCTCCAAAGGTAGCTTCAGAGGAAGCAGAGCAAGGAGGCCTTTGAGCAGGAGGGGGTCCTTCCCCTCCCCGGATGTGCCCACCATCCTCCCGATCCAGTTCTGTCTTCGGACCCCCAAAGGAGCTGGGATCCAGAGGCACCAGAGGGAGGGACCTCTTGTGGGGCTGGCAAAGAGGAAGGAAGGAGTCCAGGGTTTGCTGCTTCTAAAGTTTATTCTTTCATAGCAAAGCGAAGGGAAGTGAAGTGATTCATAACAAGAATAATGTGGATGAAGCTGCTGTGGGTTCAAAGCCAGGAGAGATGAAGGGGCTAGAGGGACAGGTCGGCCCAGCATCCCAGGGGACAGTTTAGATGGTCTCCACCCCTCCCTCAGAAGAAAGGGAGGTCCCCAAAGGAAGCTACCATCCTCCTCCTCCCCTCAAACTGCCACCTTCAGCCTCCATTTCTCAGAGGTGGCAAACAGGACAAAGAATCATCAGCTACTAAAGAAAAAAATATCCTTGGCATCAGAGAGCAGGATTAATCCATGAGGGCTGCAGAAAAAGAGACAGGGAAGAAAATTAGAATATAAAGAGACATTTTTTGTGTAAATAACATTTTTTTTCTTCCCTTTCAGCCCCCGAACCCAAAGGCAGGCCCACACTGCAGGGGTGTCATTGACAGGCAGGGAAAATAAAGGGAGAATCTGTCCATTTCAGGGAGGAAAAGGCTGGGAAGGACCAGGGATTCCTCCCCATTTCATCTCCAGGGGATTCTGGGATTCTCCCTATTTGTCTTAATTAGAGGGTTAATCAAAAGGAGAGAACCCCCTCCCTCCCCCCTGCAGACATTTCATATGAGCAAAGGACATGGGGGCAGGATGGGGGTTGAAGAAAAGGGAGGAGCCTGGGGGTCACTTGGCCAGAAATTGTGTGAATTCCCACAAGGAGAAGCCGGGTCAGGAAGAACAGCCTGTTAAGGTTCTGACTAGTGAACCCAAATGAGTCTCCATGGAGAGCCAAGAAGGATCATCTGGGACTGGGGGTGGTGGAGGAAGGGGTCCAGTTCACAGTGGAGTTTTGGAGGGAGTTCATGAAGGTGATAGGGTCATCATTCTCAAGAGCTTGGCTCCACCCTCCATCCAAGTATGGACGGAACTGGAGAACGAGCTAACGCTACTATAGAACAATACCTGAGATGCTGTGTTAATTATCAGCAATCTAGCTGGGAAGATCTGCCATTTGCTGAAGTCGCCCAAAATACCACAGTGCATATTAACATGGGACTCACCCCTTTTAAAATAGCCACAGGGGTGGAATTTGTCCCCATGCCTGAATCCCCTCAGGAACCCCCCTCCACAGTGAGCCTAAAAGAATGGGTGGGTTGCTTACAAATTATTGTGGGGGGAATATAAACCTGGGATCCTCCTTCCCTTCCCTTCCCTTCCCTCCTTCCCTTCAGTTTTGCAATTTCCCAAAACTTGGAAAAATTCTGCGCAAGATTTCAGTGTTTCTGTGTACTTTTCTTTTCGATTGCAATATTTTTTTGGATCTCTGTAAGGAAAAGCTGCCCATAAATCCAAAAATTTGCTGTATCCACAGAAAGGAGATATTAAAAAAATATATTACAAAAACACCTATAACTTGTAGGAGGGACTGAGATGAGGGAGGAGAGGAGAAACTCACCTGCAGGAGGTTGGATGGCAGTGGCTGGAAGGAGAAAAAGAACCAATCAGGATCCTTCATGGGCTGGAGGACTCAGGGGGTCCCCCTACCCACTGATAGCCCATAATAGGTTGGACGATCTTCCCTTATAGCCCCCTTGACCAACAGAAGTTCCCAAACTATTCCTCAAGGAGACCCTCTTGGCCACCTGCTGGGCTCGATGAGAGTCCTCCCCTAGATGGTCCCCTCCCCACAACTTCTCCTCCAGACCCCCAGACTCATCTTTCTTACTCTTCAGGTAGGAGAAGAGCCCCACAGCCAGGAAGGTCGCTCCAATCACGGCCCCCATGATCCCTGTCCAGAGTTTGCTCCTGGCTGAGCTGGAGGAACGGGGCTCTGGGGAAGGAGAAAGAGCCTCACCTGAGCAGGAAGATCAGGCCCTCCATTCCCCAGGAGGGTCCATTCTGGCTTCCCCCACTGGGAGGTTCTCTCCCCCTTCTCAAGGCCGGAGGGGAGGGGCTTACCCCACTGGACGGTGATGGGGGCCTCCAGGCTTACATGCCCCACCTGGCAAGTGTAGATGTCCCCCCACTGGGGCTGGGTCTCCAGCATCACCTGGAGCTGGTAGGTCCAGTCTCCATTCTGGAGCTCCTCCCCGAAGGCCACGCCCTCCTCCTCCAGCTCCCCGTTCTTCAGCCACTGGATCTCGATCTCCAGGGGGTAAAAGCCCCTGGCGGTGCAGAGGAGGATGGTGTTGGGAGAAGCGGGATCCATCTTTGTGGGGGAGATGGTGACAGTGGGCTTGGCTGGAGGGAAGGAAGAGAAGGAGGCACATGAGGGGCACAGGAGGATCCAGAAAAGGAGACCAAGTTGGGTAGTTCAGGCCAGGATCCCTTTGTGGCCAAGTAACCCATAGACTTACAGACCCTCTCCTAGCCATGAGTGCCACCAGCTCTTTGTGAGTCCAGGAGAATCTCCAGAACTGGGAACTGAACATACAGAATATGGAGGAAAAATCAGAAATGGTGACAGAAGA